GTGGGGAGAGGAGATAAAGAAGGTGGAAGCAGTGAGGAGTTTGGAGGAATTAACCGATAATATGTCAGAGGGTATTAATGCTTGGTGGAGTGAGAATTGTTCAAGTGTTCAATATTGTTTTATTTACTGTACTTTCGTTAAGAGAAAGTTGGGCTTTACATGTATTAATGGCAAATGCATATGTTCATAAAATTTTAAATGTATCACGATAAGAAATAAATAATAGAAAAAAGGAGAGAAGCAAATGAAACCATTATTAATTATCGTTTTTACTATCACGACCTTGGTCTTTTCTCGATATATAAAACTATATTTGATATATATAACATTTTTTTTTCACGGATCTGATTTTTGATTTCCTTTATATTCTCGTAAAAAAGCGGGTTCGAAGCTACGTGAGTGGCTGCTTGATCATCACAGTAGAGTGTGGTTCCATTTGTAGCTTTGCGCATCCATGGTCTTGTTTTGAAAAATGAATACATTTATTCGTTTTACTTTATTTCTAAATCCGAGTCGCCCGTAAATGCATTTAAAATCTCGTCTCTTCCACATACACGAGACCTCATTACCGTAGATGACCAGTTTAACTCACGGTAGACGAAATATTGATTTTATTATTCGCTTCATTAATTAACCACCAGAACAATTAATCTTCTACAACCAAAGTCCAATTCATTTATATTCTGTAAGTGACCAAGAGACGTCCAATTAAGTTACGGCTATTGTATCTAAAACTATTTGCAATGCATGTGTTGAAAAAAAGAAATTCAATTGTTGAATTAGTGCAATGGGTATTGAAAATAAAGAAAAACTAACCTGGATTCACAGATGTTGAATTTATTCAACTGGTTGAAACCTTTTTTTTTTAAGCCCATACGTACTACATGTCATCACCTGAATGGGAGGTGCGTGCATGTCGCACGTGGACTGTGCAAGTGAAGCTTCTACCGTTTTTATTTCTTTTTCATTTAGACAATGATACTTGTTAAATTATTATTGGCGGTTGAGATTTTAGAGATTTTTATCTCAAGCTATCTATTTAACGTTAATTATTATATAGCAAACAATTTTTATAAAAAAAACTATTTTATATGAAAACTCATAATTTTTTAAGCTCTATAAATAAAGACTTGTTACATTTCATTTAGACACATAAGAAAAAAATAATTTATACCTTAATTTCCTATTGTATTACCCTGATCGTTCCTACAAGTCAGCACCCATGTCGGGTCCATCCTAACTGACGGTCGGTCCGTAACATCTGGGAGGCTTTAAAGACTTGTTTACCGATTCTACATATTACCACATGATCTTTCTCTGTGTTTGGTCTTCACTCACACAGTTCCTTGGATTCATATATATAAAAGCATAAATAAGAATAATATATCATCAAAGTACGACAAATCAAAGCATCTTAGGATCAAATAATTTAAGCATAATGAAAACCATCAAATCTAATGTAGTGTTTGTGGGGATTCTAGTTCTCCTCGCCTCATGTGAGTCTTTTACTTTCCATACACATAGTAAAAATATTTATAATTAAGTTAGTATTTGTTTTGTTAGAACTAATTTTGTGTTGAAATTTGTTGTTTACTTACAAAAATATTAGGTATATTGTGGGGAGAGGATATAAAGAAGGTGGAAGCAGTGAGGAGTTTGGAGGAATTAACCGATAATATTTCAGAGGATATTAATGCTTGGTGGAGTGAGAATTGTTTAAGTGTTCAATATTGTTTTATTTACTGTATTTTCGTTAAGAGAAAGTTGGGCTTTACATATATTAATGACAAATGCATATGTTTATAGAATTTTAAATGTATCACGATAAGAAATAAATAATAGAAAAAAGGAGAAAAGCAAATGAAACCATTCTTAGTTGTCGTTTTGACTATCACGATCTTGGTCTTTTCTCAATATATAAAACTATATTTGATATATGTAACATTGTTTTTTCACAGATCCGATTTTCGATGTGCTTTATATTCTCGTGAAAAAGCAGGGTTGAAGCTACGTGAGTGGCTGCTTGATCATCATAGTGGAGTGTGGTTCCATTTGTAGCTCTATATGAAGAGACTTGGTTCATTTCATTTGGACACATAAAAAAAACACCATTTCTACCATAATTTCCTTGTTATTGTAACGCCCCAACCGTCCCTACCAGTTAGCACTCACGTCTTCTGTCGGGTCCATGGGCTCCACTCTTAACCGATGGTCGGTCTGCAACGTCCGAGAGGCTTTAAAGACTTGTTTACCAAACCTACAAATCACCACATGATCTTTCCCTATGTTTTGTCCTCACTCACATAGTTCCAACAATCACTTTCCGGAAAGTCACCCATCCTAAAATTGCTCCAGCACAAGCACGTTTAACCCTTGAGTTCTCTCAGGAAAGTTGATATATCACGGATTTTACCAATTTTAGCTGTGTGTCAGTTTTAGAGTCTTTTTGTTGTTTCTAGAGTCTTTTTGAGTTTTTTTAGGTTTTTACACGTTCGGGACAAATTTAGAGATAAGGAACCATTCTGGAGATAACTGGAGATCAAGAGCTGAAGAAAAGATTTCGGTATCATACCAAATTAAAGCATGAATGTCGACCGACACCCCTTGGTGTCGATCGACACCACACACAGCCTAACAAAAGTCTCGATGGTTTAAGAGTTTTAAAGCCCGAAGAATCAACCGAGAAGACTTCCATATTTGCAACTTTAGTCCCTGCACGTTTTTGGAGACATTATAAATAGTTTTTAGGATTTTTCTATTTCATTATCTTGCTTCTGGCTTTGTAATTCTCTGAGCTTGAACCCTTTGGAAGATAATTGGAGAGAGCTACTTTCAGAGATTTCAGAACCCTGTAGAGAGAAGATTTATTCTAAACTTTATTCTTCTTTTGATTTCTAATTTTTCTATCTATTCAAACATGTTTTCTGTTTTATTAATCATGTCTGAGTAATCATCCTGTTAGGTTTAGGGATTCTCATTAGAGATTTAGAGGAAGTAGTAAATCGATTAGCTGTTAGGATTAATCTGTAGAGTTCTTCACCTTAGATTGTTCTTAATGCTAGTTCTAGAGTAGCTAACTAGAACTTGATCATAGGATAATAGGTAGATTCGAGAGGTCATCTATTACTGGAACTATCTTAATTAGGTGGGCAAAGATTTCTAGATTCATACGAGAGGTGGTCTAGGAATATTTGTGAACATATCAAACATGTTTGTAATGCTAGTTTAAATCTAGGAGTTTACATTCGAGAGGTGGAACTACCTTATTTTAGATTAGTTAGTCAATTCATATGAGATGTGGTTGGCTATACATTAGTGTTTCGAGTTCTATAACGGTTCGATAATAATCCTAATTAATTTGCTAAATTTACTACTAGTTTATTTTCTGAGAATTTCCCTAAACCTGACGCTTTAATCTATTGATCTTTTACCTAATTTATTTGCTTGCATTTATTTTAATTCTTATTATTTTAGTTAGCATAATTTCAAGACTGTTAACTTATTGTGTGAACAAAAGAACTTTGTGGAGTTCGACCCTTAAGTGCTGCAATTGATCTCTTATTTGAGAGAGTAGTCTTAGGAGTTAATTTGATCCTTATCAACAGTTGACCGAAAAGATAAGTGCACTTTGGTGACATAGGTGGCCAAATCAATTTTTTAAAATCTCTCTGCATGCATCATCATATTCTTGAAACCGAGGTGTTACAATTATCCTCTAATAAACTCTTGTTTATATCTTTAATATCTTTTTTTGTGAAATAGATTCTAACAATAATCTTACACACAATAATTGTTTTTAACACAAAAATAGTGGGGTAGAGAGTTAAAATTTATTAAACAAAACCACTGTAGTGTTTAAATGTTAGGTGGATGTTGAATTATTATGTAGAAGAAAGAGAAAATGATGTGGAATAAAGATAATATGATGTGAAGTGTTAAAAAGTGAAAAAGAAATATGTTGAATAAATTTAGCATTGCACATAGTCTTAGGATATCAATACAATAAAACTAAACCGTGTCTATGCAAGAGTGACACATAATTGTTTTGTGTTATGAGAAGCTGGCCAAGAAAATTAAAACTAAATTTGTTTATGTGTCAAACTATTGTGCGGCCCAAATTGTTTCATAAAATAAAATACAATTGTTACTTTGCGAAATGTAATCAACGTTTTTTTGCGGTCAAAACAATTGTAATAAATCAAATCACTCGGTCAAATGATTTACATAAACCATATGAGAACAAAAAATTTCCTTAAATTATTGTTACTAACATATAAAAGAGATTTTATTAGCTAAATAAAGAAAAGAAATATCCCCAAAAAATTCCCAAAAATGTGGAGTCCCTTCGATTCATATATATAAAGGCATACATAAGAATAATATATCATCAAAGTACGACAAATCAAAGCATCTTAGGATCAAATAATTTGAGCATAATGAAAACCATAAAATCTAATGTAGTGTTTGTGGGGATTCTTGTTCTCCTCACCTCATGTGAGTCTTTTACTTTCCATACACATAGTAAAATTTTATAATTAAGTTAGTATTTGTTTTGTTAGAATTAATTTTGTGTTGAAATTTGTTGTTTACTTGTAAAAATATTAGGTATACTGTGGGGAGAGGAGATAAAGAAGGTGGAAGCAGTGAGGAGTTTGGAGGAATTAACCGATAATATTTCAGAGGGTATTAATGTTTGGTGGAGTGAGAATTGTTCAAATGTTCAATATTGTGCTATTTACTGTACTTTTGTTAAGAGAAAGTTGGGCTTTACATGTATTAATGGCAAATGCATATGTTCATAAAATTTTAAATGTATCACGATAAGAAATAGATAATAGAAAAAAATGAAAACATTCCTAGGTTGTATTCTATTGTGCCTGATTGAGAATTTGGCTAGAAGTTTTGTGGATTCGGACCACTGGAATATATCTATGGGTTTATAAAAAGTTGACGTTGAGCCCAAGAAAAGGAAAAGCAATATGATAAACATGCAAATAACATTAGTTCATTACAATGGGTGCAATTGGCAATGATATAGAACTTTTGTCCGGAATCTCCCAATAACTTAATCTAAAAACAGTTTTACAAAACACGCAAATGTGCATCATTAGGTATCCATGAGCAAGGAAAAAAAAAAGATATCCAAGAGCAATGTAGAACATACAAGGAAAAATGTTGTGACAAAAAATTACAGTTATTGTTCAACCGTCGTCACCTTTGCCTTGATTGCTTGGTTGATTGTGTTTTTCTGAGCTTGATACATTTCAGCAATCTGAAATATGCAGCGGGAATTTATCAAAACAAAAAAATCGAAAACCAGCCTAATCATCTCTATGACTGTGGTTAGGGTGAGACGAGCTGTCACCTGGTCAGATGATGTTGCTTCCTCTGGATTCTTGTCTTTCCGTACACGGACTAAACGAGGAAAACGTAGAGAAATTCCCTTTTAACCAAAACAAAAAAATTTAAACGGTCTTATTAGTAAATGCAATAGCTCAAAAGGAAGGAAAAAAAAAAAAAAAAGTTGGCTAATGTTGAACCTTATCAGGGTCCACAATTCCGATAGCTGCACGATGTACAGGGCTAATTGTCAAGTCAGCTGCTTTCACTTCCCACACCTTCAAGGCAAGTTTATTATTTAGCTTTGCATCAATACACTTGGGCCCATAACATAGAACGTCGTCGAAGCTGCTGTTACCTATAAATATTACTATAAGGCAAACATAGACCTACCTCGGTGGGCTCCAACCAGACATCTGGATTGAGACCGTCATCGACTTGGTAGTATTGCTGGTTTTATTAGAGCCATTACAATCAGCAAGAACTCAGGCAACATAACATATCTGGTACTGCAGCAAATAAATAGGCAAGTCTTACTTTTGGTATAGCAATCACTTTAGAGAAAAGACTGGAAGACAGCTCTTGAAGCTCCGCGTCAGAAAATCCAGTACCTAGTAGCCCAATTTGTAAACAAAATGTATGAGAGAAAATTGAGAAACATAAAAAATGAAACACCAAGGTGCATATCAGACTGACCAATTTTACAAATGCTCTGGAATTCTTCCTTGTCGACATCGTAGCACGCTAGTAAAAATGCACCAAAGAAACCTACAAGGAAAGCATATAGCTTACGTTAACAACATCAAAGGTGAAAATGTATCATCTACACATTTCGAATGGTTGTTCACCTGTGCGTTTCCCACGTCCATGGAAAGCCGCAATTGGTACTAGATCCACAGAATCTCCAATGCTACAGCATATATACACACATACCCTAGAGTTAGTTACTAAAGGACTCTACAATCTTACCTTTTTAAAACAAATTTGTTTAAAAGAGTATTGCCTGTCCATATAGTCCTTCTTCAGTTTTAGCCAATTATTTGACCTCTTTGCAGGCTCATAGGTTGCATTCGAGTACAATGACTTTATCATTAAACCTTCACATCTACAAAATACCATACATGTGACGAAGAATTGAAACAGCATAGAGATAATGAGGCAATGTCATATGGAGACAACAATTTACACCAAAAGTTTATTGCACTTGTTAAAGATGCGGACAAGTGTAAGATACTTACCCAATGTCAATAGAAGCTTTAAGAAACTCTTGTAATTCACCAATATCGTTGGATGTTAGAGCAGTTGCAAATTGGAAATACCCAGGATCTTCCTCAAATGAATCGTATAGCTTCTGGCAGAAGCAAGGTGCAAACAAATGATTACATATTTGCACAACAGTAGTTGCTTCACTGATATCAAATAAAAGGTTATGATTTACTAATATGGCTTACCTCTCGGCGAATATTCAGATTCTCCTGGATAAGTAGTTGGCCATTTAGATATAATATATCAAAAGCAAAGACATATACGCCAACCTTGATATCACTGACATTCACATTTTTATGGGCTCGAGTGCTCAAAGTCTGAGAAAAGAAAACAAGACATATAAAAACCTAAATGTTGGCAGAAAGAATTGTTGTCAAATCAGCAAAATCTGGTCTAAAAGAGCATGACTAGAGCTAAAGCTGAATTTGATCATTCATTGGCTAACAATGCTCATCTTTGGCAGTTCTTCAAATGAATAGACAAAATTGAAGATTGCAACCATAAAGCCTGGCTATCGAGTTACCTGGAGCGGAAGAATTTTCTTTTCCTCCCTGTTGAAGGCAACAACCTCGCAATCCAGAATAAAAGATTTTACAGCGGGCTTCTTAAACCTGCATAGAGAAGATCTTACACAAACTTAAGTAGAAAGATTGGATCTCTTTCTAGTTTTTTCAACAAGTAACAGCACAAGAAACAAGTGTAAATACCTTGATAACGCAAGAGCAACATCAGGGTACTTGCCAGTGTTTCTTTCAGCATGTCTACTGAATATCTCGATTGTACCATCCTCCATATAATGTATCTGCTTGATGAAAAGACAAGCGTACCAGCACATATAAATAACTTTGCTTCACCGGATAAGAGTAGAAAGCAATGAATGCATCATCACCTGTGCACGTTCACCATCATATTTGTATTCAGCTGTGAAAACGGTGTCCCCGAATTTCTCAAGTATGAGATCTACACTTGTAGTTGCTTTTGCAAGCATGGGCCTAACTGGAACACCCGGTGTAAGTTTACAAGTTTTAGGAAGATTCCACACACCACTAGTTAGAAGAGCACCAACAATAAGGTCGTAGACAGGAAGCACAGAGAATACTTCTTTAACAATCGTTGCAGCCTACAAAAACAGAGAACAAGGATGAATCCAGGAAAGAGGTGTAAGATTACAAAGGTAAGTTGTGACATCCTTGGGAAGCAAAACCTCATCTAAAGGATTCTTGATATTTGGGGGTGGCTTTGAATGCTCTTCGTTATATACAGTTAATGGTTTGTGCATGAAGATCACAGTCTGAGAGGAACGGCTTCCTTTTGCTACAAGCCCTAAGTCTCCCAATTGTGTATATTGTTGCTTAACCTGAGCCTTAGTTCTCCCAAAAGCTTCTGAGATTGCCTTAATAATGGAGGAACCCTTACCAATTCCCAATTTGACACCTTCATGAGCAGGTGCAATCTCATTGGCCGCAAGATAAACCGTAGAAAGCAAATCATCCTGAGTAGTGGCGATGGCGGTTCTCAACATGTTACATAGAATATCAGTGATGACAATCCGGCCACTTTCAAGTGCAATCAGATCAAAAGCCAAGGACAGAAACATAAACGGAACTCTCTCCCCTTTGTCCCAACAAGACACTTTGCTCGGGTCGAAATCAGCTGGCTTCTTCTTCAGCAATCCAATTTTGCTCTTCAGTTCGGTAACCCTATCTGATTTGGGTTTTGCGGAATCAGAAATACCAACAAGGGTTTTGTTAACCCTAGACGACGGCGCATCTGCAGTTTCCTCGAATTTCCTCTTCCTCTTGGCGGAAGAATTCGACATAAGAACGTCAAATGCGGACCGGTGCTGGGACGAAGACGAAAACATGGTGCTGGTATAAGCAAGAGCTTCTCTACAAGAGTGGAGAGGAGAATCGATTGATCACGAAGAGAAGGAGAGAAGAGGCGAGATAATAGGAAAGTTGTAACTGCAAGTGATTCTTAGATAATTAAAACCCTAGCGTATCTGGAAAGTTTCTGATTCCTCTGTTTAAATCCCATGTAGCAGAAACATAACCTAGTAGAAATCCTGATTGCTATTAGAATTTAGTGAGGTATCGTCTATAGTGAGCCACAAATTTTATTTTCTCGTCTTCCCATATAATGGATTGTTATCACAAGTTTTCTGTGCCGTGGAAGCTAAACAGCATCCTAGTATTTATACATTTTGCAGCCAACTTTTACCCTATGCTGCATCTGTGGTGAGACCAAAAGATATATAAGTTGTCTCACGATGGTGATATGATCAATGCAAGAGAACTCACCACTTTACCTCTCCAAGAGATCCCAAAAGATTGAAACTTGGAAATGATTTAGCTACGGTCATATCTCTGAGTGTCAAAAAGATCATACATATATGGTTGCATCAGAGAACGTTCAACAAGCTCATGCACCTGTCAAGGTTCCTGAATCAACTGAGGAATCTCTCTTCGGATTTTGAATCTTAATGCTAGGCAAAAGAGAAGACAAATCTGTCTTGAGTTAAAGCTTTGATCATAGTTTCTTTTTCTGAAGATGTTCCAGTGAATAATTCCCTACCAAGACGCTAAACCCTGAATAACATTGTAATGCATTCATGGCCGTATAGTGTTAACCAAGAACCAGTAGTCTCAACACAAGAACCAACTACATTTAGATAATCAAAATCTCAAGTATTCAAAGTAATTCAAGGTGAATTAAAATTACTATCAGAATAGCTGACTATCATATCAAAATCAAGTAATTTGCAACCAATTCCAAGACAATTCAAAGATCATACACGAACTAATGAAAATTGATATAGCATCAATTATATCAACAAGTTGAAGCAATACAATCATAAAAAAAAAAAGACAGGTGAGCTTTGTATCAAGAAGTTCTTTGGATCTCCAGCAACTACAGAGCTTTATTGTTTATGTCTGCGAACGAATCTTGTTGATTTCAGATTTAGCGTAGTCAAGTTGTTTCTGCGCAGAGGTTTTCGCTTTCTCGGTAGATGTGAGGAAGAAGAGGTTGCCGTTTTTCTGGTAGACACTTCGAGAAGAAGAGAGACTGCTCAATTCATCTAACGAAACCTCTTGCCTCTTTATCTCCTTCTCAAGCTCGAATTCGCGACCCGACGAAGAAGACGAAGTCGTAGTCGCCATTTTTTTCTCCGGCTGTTGCGGCTGCGACACTAATTTTCTTAGGTTTTCTACAAGGAATAATAAATGTTTGATTATTAAAAAGGAAAAATTGGTAAAAGCCAGAGTCCCACATCGGAAACAAGTTTTGAGATGAGGATTTTGTTCGGGTATAAATAAAGAGGCTTTGGAGATGCTAAAAAGTATCTTTGCGCTTGGGGCAATGACGCAGCTAATGAGGTTCTAACCGAGGCGCGTCTATTGCTGGTTGAAAACTATTTCCAAACCCCCTCCTGGGCCTGGGCTTGTCTTGGGCCTTCGAGAATTTCTGGAAGGGCTCCCTTCGGGGTAAAGCCCTACAATATCCCAGTTTAATTTTTATTTACTTTTTGTCTTTTTGTCGTTATATATCAGTTATACTCCTTGTTTCAAAACTATACCAAGGGCCATCTGTTTTAGTCCTAAGAAAAATGTTTTCTTTTAACAGTTTGCTAATGTGTACGACACTATCATCTGATATTTAGAAGTTAATTTGAATTAGATATAACAAGGTGAAGTATCAAAGTAAAAAGCATGTGTTTTAATTTTTATACCATACCGATGATTCAAAACCCTGGAACATGACTCTGAGGATCTCCCAGAGAGTGGCTCTATATTTTCTTTATGACCAAACCAATTGAATGATTGATTCTGCTTCCTTGTTTAAAGGTGGGACCGATTTATGCAAAAACTAAGGCCTAAGGGAGAGTTTCAGTCCAAGAATACATGTTTAAACAGTTTACTAATTTGTTCTAAAAAATCGTATGTCTAGGCGATCAATAGGTAATTTGTCGAATATTTGTTGAGATACTTACTAACACAATCCCAAAAACTTTTGTTTTTATCCGAGTTTCAAGAGGCTACAAACAAACAAATGGACAAGAATAGAGAATGAAGCTGAGTTTGAAACGTGGAATTGTGCCTCAGGTAAGAGCAAGAGCGGGTTTTTAAAACCTGCTCCTCCTTCGACACCTCTCCAAACGCTTTAACCGGAAAGTTTCTCACATGGTGCACGAATGACAAAGGGGAAAAAAAATTGAAACAAACAAATTGGAGAAGTAGAATTGTAGAAAGAACTGTGATCCCGTCATGGAAACGCTTTCTCTTTAGCTTAGAAACATTTTCTGTGGACAATGCCTGGACCTGCTTCATCATACTCAGCCTTAGAGATCCACATCTGATTACACACACACAGAAAATGCAAACAATTAGAAGAGTTTTCTACATTTAATCAACCGCAAGAAGCAAAAAATGAGAAATGGCAGTCCAAATTTTACCTGCTGGAAAGTGCTGAGGGAAGCAAGGATAGAACCACCAATCCAGACACTGTACTTCCTCTCGGGTGGTGCCACGACCTTAATCTTCATGCTGCTTGGGGCAAGAGCTGTGATCTCTTTGCTCATACGGTCTGCAATACCTGAGAACATAGTTGTACCACCACTGAGCACAATGTTACCGTAAAGGTCCTTCCTGATATCAACATCACACTTCATGATCGAGTTGTAAGTTGTCTCGTGGATCCCTGCAGCTTCCATTCCAACAAATGATGGCTGGAAAAGGACTTCTGGGCACCTGAATCTCTCAGCACCGATCGTGATCACTTGTCCGTCGGGTAATTCATAGTTCTTCTCGATGGAGGAGCTGGTTTTTGAAGTCTCCATCTCTTGCTCGTAGTCCACAGCAACAAAGGAAAGCTTCTCCTTGATGTCTCTCACGATTTCCCGTTCTGCTGTTGTGGTAAACATGTAACCTCTCTCGGTAAGGATCTTCATGAGGTAATCAGTGAGGTCACGGCCAGCAAGGTCAAGACGGAGGATAGCATGTGGAAGTGAGAAACCCTCGTAAATTGGCACAGTGTGAGACACACCATCACCAGAGTCCAACACAATACCTAAAGAAAATCATTTCACTGTGATCAATATGACATAATCATTAAAAACAGAAAAACAAAAATTTGTTTTGTCAATATCAATAATGTACTAACCAGTTGTACGACCACTGGCGTAAAGTGATAGAACAGCTTGAATGGCGACATACATAGCTGGAGAATTAAAGGTCTCGAACATGATCTGAGTCATCTTTTCTCTGTTGGCTTTTGGGTTAAGAGGAGCCTCAGTAAGTAGAACCGGGTGCTCTTCAGGAGCAATACGGAGCTCATTGTAGAAAGTGTGATGCCAAATCTTTTCCATGTCATCCCAGTTGCTAACAACACCATGCTCAATTGGGTATTTCAATGTGAGGATACCTCTTTTGGATTGCGCTTCATCGCCAACATACGCATCTTTCTGATTCATCCCAACCATGACACCGTGATGTCTAGGTCGACCAACAACACTGGGGAAAACCGCTCTGGGAGCATCATCTCCAGCGAATCCAGCCTGTACAAAAGAATTTGTCTCAAATCTTAACAAAAGAGAGAGAATCCATAAAACCGAAAAGTAAGGAAGAAGAGACTAACCTTAACCATTCCAGTACCATTGTCACAGACAATAGGTTGAATGTCATCAGCCTCGGCCATGATCGACGAGCTGCAATCAAAACATAAAGATCTGAATCTTGATCGAGAAAGACGCAAACACTTGATTAATCAAAGCAGGCTTTTCATTCACAATAGATTCAATTCAATGTATCAATAGAGTCATACTCATCGGATGACAAAATGTTACAGATTCAGATTCCAGATGATCACTTAGTTTCTTCATCCGTCAATAAATCAACAGATTCTGAAGTCAAACTTCGACAAACATTTCAAAGTTCAGATTTCTATAGACAGAAGAAGCGAAAGAATCAGGATCCATGGCAAATACAACAAGGAATTCAACGAACATCAAGTCAAACATCAATTGTTGAGCTAATCGGAGCCAAGATCAAAACATTTCCGATCAAAATTCAATCAAATCATAAATCCGAAAGATCTTTTGAAGTAACTTGGAATCGTAACCGAGATCCAACACAAGAAGAAGTAGATCGGAGGTTTTAATTACCTTAATCGGAGGAGCAAAAGCAGAAGATCGAGAGATCGAGGAAGAAACAAGAACCACGACGATGAGGATCTGGCTCAATTTCTCTCCCCTATCTCTCTCTCTCTCTTATCACCGGAAAATAAAACGGCCGATGAAGCTGAAGACGACGAGACAATTCAAAGAGGGGAGGAATATTAAGTGTGTTCAACTATGTATTTATACAGGCGGGTTTATCTGAAATTTTTCATTTTTTTTTTTTCTCATTTTGAAAATAAGAGAGAGATGAATCATTTCGGCCATAAGGAAAAAAAATAACGTGACCTGGCTGTCAGACAGCTTTTTTTTATTTATCTAGACTTTTTAAAAATGTTAGCGGAAATTTATGAGCCGTTGGATTTATCAGTTGGCGAAATGGGCTCTTGGATTGACTGTGATAGGCTTTTATATGACAGCTTCAATAATCATTCCTTTCTATTATTTGTTTTTTATTATTTTCAAGTCGGCGATTGGTGTTACCGAGTCGAGGAGACAACGGTGGTCGTGTTTTGGATTGTTTATTAAGGAAAAATCCACGATTTCAACAAATTTAATTACTATATTCAAAAGCCAAAAGGGAATGCGTAGTTATTTTTTTTTATCAAAAAAGTATACAATTCCTTAAACATTTTGATGATTATTTTTCAAAAGATAAACAAATAAAATGTAGCGATCTCACCTGTAATTGTAGAGTGTAGACCAATATATATATATATATATATATATATATATTCTTTAAAACATGATTTATACAAAAAGTGTTTTTTTTTTTTTTATAGCATTCTTGTAACGTTCCGACCGCTATTTTAATGAGCCTCACATATATTATCAGTCCGCAAATTTATTTGTGTCTGACAGCCGGTCTGCTATATCCAGAGGGTTTTTAAAGACTCGTTTACCGATTTTATAAAACAACTACATGATTTTTTTCTGTGTTTTTATTTTCACTCACATGATTTCGATAATCACTTCTCGGAAAGTCATCTATCTTTAAATTGCTCCATCTCAAGTACTAGATATTAATATAGACGGTGAGAAAATAAGATAATAAAAAGAAAGCATTGTGTAATATAATTTCACTTTTTCTCGTGATTTTATTATACATATGTTGTTTATGTAACTATTTGTATTTTGATAGTTCTCCATAATATTTTTGGAAATTCAGTGTGAATAAGTTTGGTGGGAAAAAGTATACCAAATGGTATGAAATTTTGAAAGGGAAAAAAGTTAACAAAAAAGAGGAATAAAAGTGATATAAAATTTCTATAGTAGTACTTTGACAAAAAAAAAAAAATCTATAGTAGTATTAAACATGTGAATTTGACAACAAATTATTAAAAAAAAAAAAAGAATTTGATAACAACACATAAATGTGTAAAAGTTTGCAATTATATATATACTTATTAGATAAACGTATAATAGAAAATTAGACAAATGTGGAATTATCATGTTATTTTTTGTATGCAGAAGTGTTCAACCGGAACATATATATTTTTGCCGATTTAGTGATGACTTTTGTATGAAATTATTTGGGAATTGACGCAGAAATCAAGGTTAAGATTACAAATGAAAATCAACCCCAAACTACTGCTCAAATGCACTTTCGGTTGATCTCTCAAAATTCTCTCTCTAAAATATTATTTTCTTTTTGTTTCAATGTTCACAAAATTATATATATATATATATATATCCATCTCCAATCATCTTTTTCTAGAAAAAAAAAGATATAGAGAATCACAAATGGCTTTTAATGATGATAAATTTGGAGGAAACTTTACTAGTAAAATAATTTCTCTCAATTTTATTCATTAGCCAATATATTTATTTATACAAATATCATAACTTGATTAGCAAGTTCGTTACATATATAATAATAGAAAATCTACCTATTTAAGAATAAAGAATATTATACAAATGTTAATATTCTTTTCGAGTCGATCTCGTAATCCCCGAGATCTCCTAAGTAACTTCCCAATAATACTGACAAAAACCGATTTAGTATGCTGTCAAATATAAATATATAATCATGAACACAAATATAATCAAATCGACACTAAACCAACAAGTTTCTTAACAACCCAAAAGCCTAGTGACTAGTGGGGAAAACGGCATTTTTCAACCTCAACTATTTGTTGGCGGGTTTTTCCAATCCAAACTATGACCCTCAGTCGATTTCAACCCGAACCCAAAAATAATACAAAATCAAAACCTAAACTAATGTAAATGAGCCGATTTCAACACGACGTGAAACAATGTTAGTTAGGAAGTTAATAGTTTCAAAGTTATTTGATTTTATTTTCAAGGTTTGATGAATGTTGTAGAGAGAGAATTACCCAAGGTTGAGTAACCGTTAACTTCCGAACTAACACCGTTCCGCGTCGTGTTGAAATCGGCTCATTTGCATTAGTTCAGGTTTCGATTTTGAATTAATTTTGGGTTTGGGTTGAAATCGACTAGGGGTAATAGTTTGGGTTGGAAAAACCCGCCTGCAAATAGTTGAGGTTGAAAAAGGCCATTTCCCCAGTGACTAGTGTCGTAGTTATTTTTTTATTAATTACAAACACGGGTTATATTATTAGATATAACAATTTTTCTGTGCCAAGATACCATTATTAATCGTCGTATTTTAAAATTAGGCATACATGATCCATTGCGAACATAAAGTTGATTAGTTAATACAGGACAAAGAGGTACACATCAGATATACGAGTACGAGGCAGTACATGTTAGCTATATGACTATGTATCTCGTAATTCGTCTTGGATTTTAGACATCCACTACATATTTTTTTTCCTTTTTTTGGGTAAAGTACCCACTACAATATTTATAAAAGTTTGCAATTATATATGTACAACAGCTCACCTCTTAAATATGTAACAAAATTGAATTTAAATTTAGAAGATCGAAACTTTTGTATTGTGCAATTCGAATTTTTTTTTTTTTTTTTTTCGTCACTCGAATATGTATTTAGTTATAAGTCTTTAACCGATCGGTAAAATTTGATTTTACTTCAATTAAGCAAGTATTCTGGTTCGATTCAGTTCTCGGTGAACTGAAATATTTGATTTTGTATAACCAGATCATACCACAATTAGACCATTTTTACCAAATTTAAACTACTTTTCATCGATAATCGAACCAAATTGAACTACTCGAATTTAACTGAAAAAACAAAATTATCCAAAACTAATTGAAAAATCAGATTTAAAAAAAAATCGGTTAATTCCAATAGCATTTTCAAAATCAAAATCAACCGAAAAACCGAATTAAAAAACTGCAGTCCCAGAGCTACGATTCACCATCTCACAACAGCTTTATGTGGCGTTATGGAAGACAACATCAACAAGACCCTCATCCTCATGATCATTTTTCGTAAATAGTTTTTTCTTTCATTGATCAATAGACTTAACATTTTAACTCTATAGAAAGTTCGTAGTCACTGTATTTGACCGTATGATGATGTTGTGATATATGTGGATGTCGGAATCCGCAACACGAATTTTGAGATGTAAATCGGGCCGTCTAGCCTTGCTAATTCGAACAGCAATCGTCAAAGAGAAAACAAAAGAGTGAAGTATGTGTATTCCTTTATTGCTCAAAAAATCGTCCCCCTTTACAATGGTTTTAGTTCTCTATTTATAGTCATGCGATTCAAAACCGAAGTCGTTCATCAAGCCGCAGATCTCGCCTTCATCAATGTTTCCGTTTCAAATCTTCCGAATCTCGCAAATCCCGTATGACCCGCCTTTCATTTAATTCGCGAGATCCCGACGTTTCACTCGAGCTAAGCCGACTTTTACTGGGCCGTTCTTTTTATCTTTTGAAACGGGCTGACGGCCCACTTCGTTTCATCGTCCACCACTTTTCTATGGGCCGGATCCGACTTGCGAGATCCAACACCAACAGTTTGCCCCCCAAGTGTTCCGAAGTGAACACTTCGGAATACTTTAGATGCTGAACTTTTTCTCAGGCTCGGAGGCTTCATCGTTAATCCCGCTTTTCCCGGGATTTGGTCTTCGACCGAAGTGACGTTTCGAGATCCTAAGGTATATTTTTTCCCGCGGATCGAGGGATTTTCCTCGGGAAGACAAAGACGCTTCGAGACCCTAGGGTTTCTCGCTTTGCCGCCCAATGACCCTCTATATAATCATTAGACTCTTCGGGTTCTGCAAACACACACGTCGTCGTCTTCTCCAAACCGCTTCTGCTTCCTTCCGTATTTAAAGGTAACTCTCTTCTCTCTACTTTTACCTCTTAACACTCTTCCGATTACGCTTAGTTCTTGCTATTCAGTTTCGGATTCGTGTTAGTTCACCGCTCTAGATTAGTTCCGTGCTAGATTTAGGCCAGAGATCTAAAAGATTTCTTAGATTTTCAGCCCTCTGCTCCGAATTTGTTCGCTGTTCTTCAACTCCTCCGCCGTGTTCTTGATATTCCGTTGAATCGCAACCGTTTTCCGAAGAACATCAACCGCTTAACCTTTCCGGTTTCTGGGTTTTCACGAAGATCTTCGAAGTTTGCTCAAGCGCGTTCTTGAGTTGTTCTTGAAATATCTTCCCAAATCCCTGGCGCCAGATCTTGTTTCGTCTCTACATCTTCCTTAATTAAGTTATGGCTCCGAAGCGAAGCAGGAAGATCCAGAATGAGACTCACATCATGGAAGGCGAGTTCGGGAAGTATTTTTCTTCGAATCTTGACAATAAAAAACTGGCTCTGCTGAAAGGTGCCTGCCAGATCCCTCGTCAAGTCTCCTTGATTACTCCGGGTCCGACAGATTCTCCAGAGTCTCCACCTACCGGTCACACTTGCGCTTTTGAAATCTTCTTTTCGGAATGCGGGCTATCTTTTCCGCTTCCCGGCCTTTTGGTCGAATTGATGCACGAGTTCAGAATCGCACTTCCTCAACTATGTCCAAATGTAGTTAGGACCGTCCTGTGCCTCCAGACCCTCGCAGAGGAAAATGGATACCGTATCACGCTATCCGACGTACTCCATCTTTACACAGTAAAGAAGGGGCGAACCCCGGGGACATTTTTCCTCAGTCCTCGGAGTAATTTCAGAGTCTTCGGGGATTTTCCCGAAAAGGACGAGCAATGGAGAAAGTCCTACTTCTTCTTCGCTGTAGACGAATTTTCTTATGGTCCAAACACGGCTTATTTCGTTCGTGAATGGACTCGTCGTCCCGGTAGATAGC